GGCCCAGAGGCCATGGCAATGAGCTGAAACCTCTGGGGTCTTCACTTTCTTTCACAGAGATGAGGGTTAGATGTTGGTGTACCACAGATAATAAGCGATCAAACTTATGAAAAAAGGAACTCCCGGGTGATTTTTATCTTTTCCTTCCACATATGTTTTATAAAATCTGACAACAGGGAGTAGTTCTAGGAATGTTTTATGTGATAAGGGAGAAGCCGTTGCTCTCCATCACTTCCGCTGCTCCCTCATCAGTTACAGCTCAGGAAATGAACTCAAGCAGATTGGCGCCTGTTGGCCCACACCACACTGGTTTTTCATAACAGGATTGGTGTATAACCGGCAACTACTCACATTAATTGCTTAACCTGGTTCGATTATAGTTATCTTTCTCTGAAAAGCATTTAGCCGCTATGCAAGACTATATTCGGTGAACCAAGAATGAAGAAAAAAAATCTACCCGACTGATCAAAGACTGTAGCAGGACTCAAACTGTGAAAAAAGTAGATGTTAAAAAAAGTAATTTAACAGTATGCTCTATAAGCAAAAACTGTATCTAATATTTGCAAAGCCTTGGAGGTTTTATGCTCTGTGTCTACATTTGGAATAATGACTGACGTGTAATCTACAGCTTGTTGTTTTTGCCCTTTGTGAACAGGGCTGAACAATCACATTAAAGGTCAGAAGAATAACAAAGAACTGCTTTCTTTGGCTTTGCCAGACTCCAGTGTTGGTTTTTGTCAGATTATTTTTTTTTTTTTTGCGTTTGTCTATTTTCATGGTGATTGATGTGTATCCTCAAACTTCCCCAGCTTGATGGAATCAATAAACTCATTTGCAGAAATCTGATAGAAATCTTCAATTGATAAACGGATAAAAGCTGGTAAGAGGTGTCAGGAAAACACATTTCATTCCTTGGTCCTGGAAACTGTGGATTTCCAGCCATCCTGTAAGTCTATAATAACGTCTACATTCACTTACAGGAAGGTGGTTGACAACAATGGGTAACTGAGAGTTTTTTTGTTTTTTCAGTTTATACATGTGGAATTACAGAGATGTGGAAAATATGAATTGATCTGAATGTGAATTATGTTTCTCTGACCTGCACTGTCTTGGGTATAATGCAGGACTTATCCAGGATTGAGGTTGCTAAATTTGACACTACTTTTCGGTGATCACATTTATATTCATGCTATATTCGGATATAATAACCTAATATTAATATGTAATGCTACAGGTTCAAGGGAGGATAAGAAGTTGGATGCCATTTCAAGTTTTTCTGCCTGATAAAAAGGCTAACAGTTAATCTTAAATCTTGCAGAGTTTGAGGTTTCAGGCTCTAAATCATTGCTACGCAGCTGTAAACCTCAAGGGTAAATTGACAGTTTACTTGTCTCTGCCTGCAGCTGGTGCTATATG